CTGCAGTAACATGGGCAGATAAAGTTGTCATACAGCTCTTTAGGTTTATAATATTGTAATAGTTTATGTACTGTGTATTTGTATTTTTGTGTATCCAGGATTACCTAAAAAGCAGACGGGACAAAATGGCCTGAGCTGTAATTACTGGTTGAATAAATAAATTGAATCGAATTGAATGCTCAGCTCACACATGTACACATTTTAGAATATATAGTCCCACCAAAACTTAATCTGCTGAATATCCAAAGAAGCTATATTTTTGTCCATTACACGTCTTGTACATATTTAGATACACATGAGACCCAATGACATTGAAGAGTAAATTGATTTCTCTTAACTTGACTCTAACATTGTTGGTTTAGACAAATCAACTCACCCTCCCCTATAATCTAAAACTAAATGTCAGCTATGACTTAAGTGATGGAAATATTATAATCATAATAATCATTGCTTCAAGTGATCCCTGAACTATGATAACAAATAAAAAGATATTATAGATTCTTTATTGACACAACAAAAAGTACAGGAACTTTTGTATAGCCTTCTACAACTAAAGATGTAAAAAAGTTAATGTATGGATTACTTTATCCTACGTACAGAATATACATATGTGGCAAATTACGTAGTACAGAATATATATATATATATCAGTGTCTGTATCTGTATAGCCGGTATAACCGCCCTTCGGCGTAACACACCAGATTCGTAGGCACGCGGCGCGGCGGCAGCTAGCTATATTACACCGATCGACTTGTTACACCTAACCCTTGAACTTCTAGCTCTAGACATTGTTTAAAGCTATCTATTGACAATGCCCCTACTGTACTTGGTGACAGTGAGTCCCACTCTGCAATAGTTAATGTATTCTTTTATGTATTTTCCTATTTGAATTCTTACCTGTTCGCCCTGCTCCTTTCCTAACATGGTGTTGTCTGTCGTGCTGCGCGACTTCAGGTCCTGTAGTTTCTGCTGTTGTTCCTGTGTTTTCTGCAGGAGTTTTGTGAGATCCTGGGCCGTGTCGGTACATGTCGGGGAGTCAGCCGCTGACAGCTGCAGGCTTGACGGCTCACAGTCAGCAAAACACGGAGACACAACCGCTACAAGTACCAACAGGAACTTCAGTTCCTCAGCCGCCATTTTAGGTCTGGTCTCTGACTCCCAAGTCCAGCGGAGGTCAAATCTCGTGGCCACGAAGTTGTTTGTTTATGCCAAAATACAGCGACTTGAGCTGTTATCTCATCAATGCAGGGTGTATTCCGGTAGATTTAAGCCTCCTATATGTGTTTTACAGTGTTCTATAAGTGTTTTCCGGTAAATAGGCAGACCCGTTTTCAACTTGATCACTTAGATTTTCTCTTATTACTGAGGATATGACGTTCGTTCGTACACTCTTGGGTAGAAAAAAAGTTGAGTTCTGAAAAACGCTATAGAAGTTCTCTTACGAAAAATTCAACCATTCTAGTGCAGAGGTGTTTTTCAACTGGCAACAATTTTGTTAAAACTTAAATCCGATTAGGTCTTCTCCAAAGCTCATTATTAGTGAATAAGTCGGATTAGAGCTGGCCGCCAAATCAGCTGCAAACACTCACTGTCGCACTCAGTCAGTCTGCATAAAATTTGTGTAGCCAGACTGGGAAACTTTGTGTCTTTTGTGCCTCCAAAGAAAAGGTCTCTTTTCTATGACTCCTTCTTAGTCTATTCTGGTGGCTGCTATTAAAGCGCTTGAGTGTGACTCATGTAGTTCAAGCTACCTCCGCTAATCGGCGACGTTTCATCAAGTCATATTACAGTATGCCTTCAAGTTGGTTTTATCCATCGTTCTTTAGTAGTTACATGGGGTCGGAAGATGCGCCGGAATACACATAAAAGGAGAGAAATGTACCAAAATACGACATACTTTGAGGAGTTAACATCACAGTAAGTTACTATATGTCGGCATAAAATAACGTCTACTTGGGCCTGGGAACGAGAAATTTAAAAAAATTGCTGAGCGAATTCGTTATACATTTGTTATAATTTTCTGATAATTGGTCCCGCAATGATTTTTCGGAATTGATTTCAGGTTGCGTCGAATGTAAAACTTGGTATATAATTTCGCATGAGACCTTCTAGACTACGGTCATAACTGGGTATTTAAACTATACTTAGTTTGGACTGAACAATATGAGGTTCTTAGACTGGTCATACACTCAAACGAAGTCTGACTTGTGTGGATGATAACTAACATTGGGCGACAGACTAGGATCGTGTAGTACTAGTATTTTCTACTGTAGTTATTTGTTGTTCCCATGGTCATATAATACACATCATTTTTATGCCAAAATACTAGTAGCAATCTGTGCTATTTACTTATCAATTGCTTGATAGAGACGAGACGAATTTACAAAGTTATTATTTTCTGACATGATTTTATGACATGACCACCCCCCGTAACATCAACTCTTGTTCATCTGCAATCCTAAATGGGGTATGGAATTTTTGATAGCGACCAGTAGTCATAACACCTGCTTCTACTAGTGGGTTAGTTATTTCTCATTCTCAGTGAGTCTAGCTCACGATCGTATCAGCCATAATGTTAGGGAGAAGAAATGTTGTTGTTAAAACCATCTGATTTCAGAGCAGCAAAACTGGAAATATTTTGAATAAAGCAATCTTTGTGATATTGCCACGTATTGCTTCACATTAGCACATTTAAATCAGCATTTCATATTTTGGGCATTTAAAACAGCAGAAACAAGCCCCAAGATGAGTCCTTTATTTTCTGGGTGGTACCGGTAACCATTTCCGTCAGAATTATGGTACTTTTTCCTCCATGAGGGTCAATATACCTTGGGAGAGTGTAGTTTCAACTCGTATTTAGATAAATAACTAGAATATTGGCTTTGAAAAATCGAGTTTACAAGCCCTAAAACTGCACTGTATGCCTTTAATCTGATTCATGTAACCCGTAGCCTCGGAGTGGCCTTCGGGCTACACTTTTAAGTGGCCTTCGGTTCTTCTTACGTACAAACAATAAGTAAAAAAAAAACAACCAGAAAGATCTGTTTGCCACTTGACGACATTCTTAGTCTGAAAGCTGCACGTGTACACAGTTTTGTGATGTCCATATCACCTTCAGAGTGCTCTGATTTGTTTTTGTTGAATCAGCTTTTGGACAAATGTTTGTTCCTTTATCAGTTGTTTGCTGCATCAGCACGGGACGATAACATGTGGAGGACTCTGACCGGCCTGACTGTGAGGACAAGGAGAGACACACACAATAGCGTGTCAATCAGGTCAGGGGACAGTCTGGTACCCCTGTCCATGTAAACCTACAGGGGGACCCCTTTGTCGTGGGGTCGTGTGGCGCAACGGCAGCGTGCACGACTCGGAATCAAGAGGTCCCGGGTTCGAGTCTTGACATGCCACCGATCTTGTGCCCTTGGGAAAGGCACTTTACACGACTATCCCCACTAGACTCAAGTGAAAATGAGTATTGTCTGTCCAGTGTTCGTTTCTATGTGTGTATTGTATTGTTGCAATTTCAGTATTGTATTGTATATTGTATTGCTGCAATTTCAATAAAAAATAAATAAATAAAAGAATAAAAAATCAACCCGCACACACATGTACAACTGGCTCATTCAGACATACTCGAGGGCTAATTGCAGGTACAAACAACATGTATGGAAAAAGAAAATACAATGATACGAGAGACTACGTCTAACATTATACTATATTCTACAACATACATGGTACTAGTTTTACTGGGTTTGACCACTTCTTTTGAGGCAGTACTAGATAGAAGGCGAATTTACCTGCTTCTTCTATAATATGTGGGTTCTTTGAGTTTAGTAATAAAATTGTTTTCTCGTGGTAGGGAATGGTTTGAAAGTAAGGACACAAACCACTTCTTTACTACGCAAAAAAACCTATATCGATGATGTTAAGATCGTAGTAAAACCGTTGAATCCGTTGTTTTCTTTGTCACAAAATCTTGAGACAAAAATGACAACTCTTCGTATTTTTCAACGTTACTTAGCAATAGCCATGCATGCTAATGTTTACCTCTATCTTACATAAGCCACAAGTATTACATTCCCATTATTTGCCACTTAAGAATTGAACATACTTGTAATTTTGATATCTAATAATGTTTCAATTGTTCTTACATATACCTCATCCGTCATACATGCATTTTAATCATAGCTACATACATACAAAAATCATGAAAATCATGAACATCTAAAGCTATCCACAATATCCACAATAATGAAGACCACAGCTGGTCCGGAGCATATACAAAAACAGAAAGTTCTTCTGCAATACCGAAAACAGCTGCTAGAGGGCCTTTACAATCCAATACATGTGTTGAATCCTGTTGTGGAAAATACTGAAATTTTTAAATTTCATCATTGATTATGCAAGCTTGGGTCTCATTTTGTACAATTTGTATTTAATCTACTCACATGCCTCGCATTATGTACACATGTCCTATCTTTCCTCAGTTATCCTCTGTGAAAGTCTTTAACAAGAACGGCCCTGTATTTCCAAAAACAGCTGCTAGGGGGCTAAACCTATGCCTTTTCTTTCTGACGTCAAAGCTATCAATATCAATTAACCACAATATCAAGACCAGACCAGAAGGTGCAAAAACGAACGTTCTGGTGCAATACCAAGGAAAGTCGCCAGTAGTCCCATGATGAAAATCCGACCAGAGCTTTTTAAGTTATGCCGATCACAAATATGCGGAAATACAAACAGACAGACAGATATATTCACAGACAGGCAGACACCCAAAATTACACCCAGAACACTCCACTACCAGAATCATGAAGAATTTGCAGCCAATTCTGATGCCTCTGTTATGGATGACATCCTCCGCAGACTACAAAGTGGGCGAAAAAAAAACAAGACGGGCCGAAAAAACAAGGTTCCTACATTTTGAAATTTTAACTCAATCATTGTACAAATGGTTTTCATTCAATGGGAACTTCACATATACACAGCCATCATCACATATCACTGCATCAAAGTAAGAAACAAAACAAATCAGAACCGTTTATTGTCTCCTCTCTTATAGTTATCTGCCTTTCGGCATGGCAACAGACATCTTTGCCCATTTTCGGCATGTTGACCACTGTCAGAGGGCAACAAAATCTCTTGTTTTTTCTTCCAAACTCAGACAAAAATCAATGCGCGCGCGGATGTCATCCGTAAAAATGACTTTCTGTGGCCTAAACAAACAATTGTCAGCTGATCTTTACCCGCCTCCCGACACCACACTCTGCCGTCAGTCCTGTATCAGACAGACCCACAGTACCTGCACTGCAGCCTTCAGGTGAGTAAATGTGTTCTTCTGATGGTCACGGATATTTACTGACAGGATAACATAATAACCGTCCAAATCCCTCGTTCAAAATCTTTTCACAGTGACAGTTTCTTTCCCCGTACGGCCAAGCTTTGGAATTCTCTCCCTAACAAGTGTTTCCCACCAACCTACAATCTACAGGCTTTCAAATCAAACGTTCACCGCCATCTCTTGACATAGCCATGTTCCTCTCATACCGTATTTCTAGTTCAATGCCGAGAAGTGGTCGTATAGGCCTTGCATTGAACCACTCCGTTAAAAAATAACTTCTGTTACACACTAAACACGCAGGAAATTGAAAAGATGGAACAGGTTCCAAAACAGGGCTGTGTGGCGCAACGGCAGACCGTCGGAACCAAATCACACCACCGGGAAGCAAGGCATGCCCCTGGAAAACGCACTAATCACGAATCTCCTCAGTTTTAAAACTCAAGTGTGAAAATAACTATGTCTGTTGTCCGATCATGCGTTTGTCTTCTGTGTTGGTGGCGGCATTAAAATAAGTTGAAAAAAGAATTAGTGTGCCGTCACCATGTCTTGTGAGAAATGTTGGAATAGAAGTCCAAAATATGTTCTATAATGGGCCATGCTGACATTGTTGGTGCTTGTCTTTAGGAAATAATATACTTCAATGGCTGTCTGTCTGGCTATATATACACATGCAAAGTTGTAGGTTGTATAGTTTACACAATATGACAGGCTAGCTAGCTGCAGCCAAAGTTATAAACTTGGTAACCGCGCTGGTGATGTCAGTACGAAATGCTAACATTGTAGGAGTCCAGATCAGTATTATAGTCAGCGCTTTTCCACAGATAGCATTATTTCTTAAGAATGTCTCATGTCCGCGAGTGAATATACCAGAAAAGAGGTCACTTCTGTGTACAGTTAAACCTGTCCACCCAGTGGACCAAAGAAAAGTGGTCACCTTGGACAGGTGGTCTCCTTGAAGAGAGTTGCCTCACAACATGACTGAGACATAAATGGTTTCCAAGTCGAGATGTTTTAATGTCAAATGCTGTGGGCATCTTTCGAATTCAGTTCTGTGGTGAATGCATGTGGGGAGGGTGGCACAAAAAACAACGTCCAACAGTCAAGGCAAACTGGCTGGTTTCTCCATGATTGGGGACCGAGAAAAAGCGGTCACCATGGACAGGTGGCCTGTTGAAGAGGTGGCAGGTCTGACTGTAGTTGAGTCCTTTGTAGTTCCCAACCAATAGTTTTCATACACTATATCCAGTACAATCTCTGTGCAATAAAGATCGACTGATAGATTGAATACTAGACTCTATCAAGCATCCGTTCCGTGAAGTTTATAGTAACAACGTTAGAATTTATTTAATATATTTTCCGTGACTATTTCTTCTAATATCTTGCTTACTGCCTGTATTTCCAGGATGGAGAGTAAGTTACTGCTGTTAGCGGCAGTGTTAGTCGCCGTGGCGCACTACACCCTGCCGGCCGACGCCGCCTTCACATGCCCGAAGACAGCGTACCCCGTACCGAACCAAAACACGCCGGCCTGCCCGGCCGCCAGGTAAGTCAACAGTCAACGTTTATATATTGCACAACGTTTATATATATAAGTCAACGTTTATATATTGCACAGCAATAGTAGCAGGTACAATGTATGGCAAATAATAAGATTACTGAATAGCTGGTATGGGTCTAACAAAATTCTTCATATAGGTTCAACGGGTACTATGTTTGGCAGATTGTTGAATAGAACTACTAACTAAGAACTAGTACAACTCTACAAGTACGTTCTAAGCTACGCTATGCTATATTTATAAAGGGTACAATGCGCAGTTGTAAATATACTATACAGTTTCTACGAGTACTATACTTCACATAGTGCACTAAATTATTGGCTAAGAACTGTTACAATTCTGTTACAACTGTTCCATAATCATATCCAGTTGCTTGAGTAGCTGCTTTTTGGTGTATCTTATTACCTGTGGACGTCTATCTCAAACAGAAAATCTTGTAAGAATAAGATATTCTCGAAATCTCCCCAAGTAGCCAACTTTCTGTTGAGTGTATTGTTCAAAATACTTGTCAAAGGAATAAGTTTTTTTGCACGTGTAAGGCCACACCAATTTAATTTGCTGTTTCTCGGATTCGCCCTGTCCATTTTTTTCTGATTTGCAAAAAAAAAATTAGGTTCTAAATCAACTGCAAAATGCTCAATAAAAGACATATTTTGGCCCCAACGGTTGAAGAAAGTCCTTTTCTTCCTAGTTCTTAAAGTTTTTCAATGTAACAATGCAACTTTGTTTCATTAAAAGTTCAAAATCTATTGTTTTAATTTCTAATTATAAACCAGCCTGGTATGTTCACTTCATGGCTCTTATTGTAACATTTCCGGCTATCATGGGGTGCCTTGGGCTGTTTTTTTAATTATTTTGCCCTAGTCGCTTCATATTTTTTCTGAAAAAATCCGGGAAACAACAAATTAAATTGGTGTGGCCTAATGATGAAGATTCCTAAGTCAACATCTATAACTAAACTTTGCTGAAAGCTGAGTTTTAATGTTCCTGTGACTGTCGCCCGTACAGTAAACTGACCGCCGATATCACGACTCAGAAAACTGCAGCCGACAAACTCAAGACTGATCTGGGGAAACAGAAGTCCCAGGCCCAGGCGGACCAGCGGAGTCTACAAAGCGCACTCAACTTGGAGAAAGGGAAAAGGTACAGTGGAACATTTCCATTATTCCATGTGTGGCCAATCTTCGTTTAGATTATAATTTTTCTTGTGTTTTGTGATCCACTCTACATTGATTGTGGTGCCATTTTTTGTTTGCAGTCTGTCGTCTAGGAACGTTGTTATGTTACATGCCCATAGCCAGGATTTTTAATGAGGAGGTTCTTCCCACTGCTTGAGGGGACCTCGAGCGCCGTAGGCGCGAGGCGAGCGCTGAAGGCGCGAGGTTCCCAGGGTGGTCCGGGGGCATGCTCCCCCTGAAAATTTTGAAAAACTTTGCCACCAAGAGCCGTAATAATTTTGTCTCACCAGGCAAGCCGCCGGCACCAAGGTGACAGGTTTGATGACTAAGGCGGCAGCCGTGCAGACGGCAGCAGCGGCAGGAGTGACCGCCGCTACCGGCACACAGGCAGCCATCACCAACCTCAAGAGGAAGATGCAGCTGCTCAAACAAAAAGTACGTCTCCAGTTCTACATATAGCTCCTGAGTTATTAATTTTTGCAAAATGTAAAACCATGTACAACATATCTCGATCTTGCAGATTTTGAACTAAGCTCAGCCATTAGCAAAATCAGGGAGAGTTATCGCCCATCCTCTGGAAATAGAGAGAGGCCGGTATAGAAGATTACCTGTGTGTGCAAGAATCTGTAAATATTGTAGTGTGAAGGCTGTGGAAGACGAAATACATTTATCTCAAACTGTTCATTCCATAACAACGAATCGAATTGACTATTCAAACTTCTACAATTTATCCCAATTTCTCTAAACTTACAGACCAAGAAAAAACTAGTCTTCTTTTAACTTCCCAAAACCCACAAACCCAAAAGTGGGACATTACGTCTTCCATGGTTTACAGAAGAGAAATCAAACCTTTAAGACATAGTTATAGTTCTAGACAGCTACCTTTCTCATGTAGACTTTAGTTATTTTATACTCTGTTTCATTGTTCTCTTATGTTTTGTAATTTGCAATTAGCCTCCGGGCAAGAATTTTCAATAAACGTTTCTAATAATAAGAGGATGCGTAGTACTTCGTCCTCGCCATTTTAGAAGAGGTTATTCTTACTTAAATAAGTACAAAACAACAGCTCTGCTGGTCCGTTGGCTATATTATATATCTGAAGTTAAATTATTCGTAATAAGTAGATTCAAAAATAAACAAAAGGCCGTTGACGATTACTTAATGGAATGCAATAATGATGTATTTCAAAAAGAGAGATGTTTCAGATCATCCCCAATGGCGCTTTTGGATCACAAATGGCTTTGTTGGAAACGAGTTTTTGTATTTTTTTTCTTTCTTTCAAAGGTCAACGCTCTGGAAGCAAAGGCGCTTAAAAAGAAACCAAGCCCCAGCACCGGTACCCCTAGCGGCGGTACCCCCAGCGGTGGTACCCCGAGTGGTGGTACTCCAAGTGGTGGTACCCCTAGCGGTGGTACCCCCAGTGGTGGTACACCGAGTGGTGGTACACCGAGCGGTGGAACCCCAAGTGGTGGTACCCCTAGCGGCAGCGCTACGAAGCCCAGCCATCCCCAAGGTTTGTAGTGAGACCACACTGACTTAATTTTATGGATGGCATCCGTGCGCGCATTGAGTTTCGACTGTTCTAAAAACACCTGCGAAGCTCTGGCCTAGCTGGGTACCATCCTTCATAGCCCATGGTAGCTAGTGACAATAGGGAGCCGGCGGTAACTACAGAGGACGGCACCCAGGCTGCCGACGCTCCACAGAACTATAGAACTCAGTACAGTGCCCTCTCGTGAATGCCACAAAAGGGCAGCATGTTACGGCTTTTCGTAAAAGTCGCTATGTACTACCGCAAATTCACAATACCAGCTTTGTATTCCTGTGGTTTAGCAACATTTTTTGGCTGAATTTTTTTAATTAACCCGCGCGCACTAGTTTGGGGGTCTTCAAAGGATGTCATCCATAAAATTAAGGGTGTGGCCTAATGACGGTTTCTATAGACATGATGTCACCGTGTGGTCTTTAGTAAACGGACACGTTTTCAGAAGTCTCCCGGTTGGTGCAAAATCGTTGTCTGACGCTGTCTCCCTCCTGTTTTAGACTGTGGATATATCCACAAGCAGGACCCGCGCAAGCCCTCTGGTCTGTACAGCACCAAGATTCCAGGTGAAACCAACTTCGTCATCACCTACTGTGACATGGACATTGACGGAGGCGGCTGGACAGTCATCCAGAGGCGCAAGGCACCCACCCCATCATTCGACAGGCAAGTACATGGGCCATTGGGAGCGAGTTGTGTGTTGTCTTTTACCCCCGATGAAAAATGGAGCTGTTGGTTCTGGTATCTCTCTTGTGTGTGTGTGTGTGTGTGTGTGTGTGTGTGTGTGTGTGTGTGTGTGTGTGTGTGTGTGTGTGTGTGTGCGCGCGCGCGCGCGTGTGTGTGCGTGTGTCTGTGTTTCCGCATAGCCCTTAGGTCAGGTTAAACTGGATATGGTTGGGTTCAGTCTGTCAGCTAGGTTTGTTTACATTCTGGTGGTGGTGGCACCACAAAATTTGTGTGCGTCATCTCGGCTGTTTAGCGCCAACCATTAATATCAGAATGTGAGATAATTGCACAAACGTGTTGAAAAGTGGAAGAAAATGGCAATCACACGAATAAAGTTTCAGTTAAAATATTTCTATTTCTGGTGCAAAAAATATTACATAATGCCCCTTTGACAATGTGGAGACAGTCAAAACATAAATCTGTTGTATATCCAGGCCGTGGAACGACTATAAGAACGGGTTCGGGCAGCCCATGGACAGTTTCTGGTGGGGACTGGAGAAGGTGTACAAGGTGACGAAAGGACAGAACTTCAAACTCCGCATAGAAATGGAGGACACACAGGGGCTGAAGAAGAACGCCATCTATGACAATTTCAGGTCAGTACAGGGGGAAGGTTATGACGACTTAAGATTTTGTAGTTATTATGTTTACCAAAGGAAAACATATTGTTTTTGCTACTTTTCCTCTTCTTCCGTTCCAAACACTGGTCTCTGACCTGGTAAATGACCTGATTTGTCTCTCACCATGGTAACTGGTGTTGGGTTACATAATGTTGCAATTTTATAGTAGGATTTTTTAGGGATTTATACTCTTGTCTAACAATATATATGAATGTATTTGAGTAAGAATTAACAGTGCAGACCATATGCGAAAGTAAACATTATGCATTTGCTTTGCAAACCTTTCCAGTTTTGTATTCTGTTTCAATGTTCTTTTGTCCTTGGTTACTTGCAATTAGCCCAAAATTTGGGCAGGGATTCGCAATAAACTTTACACAAGGGATGGGGGTCTTTCGACTTTGCATCTGTTGACCAGTACTTATCCCGATAGAGCATGAATGTACAACAAAGGTTATGTTTGCTTAAGGTACTGTTCTGTTCCTCCTTCAGAATTGACAGTGAGCTGAACAAGTACAAGCTGACTGTTGGCAAGTACACCGGGAATGCCGGGAACGCCCTGATGACTCACAACGGAGTGAAGTTCAGCACCAACGACCAGGACAACGACGACTACCCGGCAGACAGGTGGGTTTGTTTGTTTGTTTGTTTATTCATTTAACCAGGAAATACATGTCGCCTATTGGCGGTTTTCAAAGATTCCTGGGGGAATAACCCCAACAAAACTACACGACATTATAATTATAACAACAGATTAAACATGAACTATCAAAGGTCAACTAAAAATAGATAAACTTATCGTGAACAAGACGAAATTGTAACTAACTCATCAACAATAAAATGAAATAAGGTAACATAGAAGGAATTATAATCCAGGGGACAGACCACTATTTCCAGACCCCCATTGGAATACATGATGAACATCTAAGAACTGAGCTGGCAAAATCACCTACTTGACTGTTCAACTATTGCAAATTGACAGGGTAGTCCAACCTCCACATTGTTCATTTGGTCCAAAAAATCATAGTTTGACCAGCGGAATTATGTACGAGGGATAGAAACACTGTGATCTTGACCCTTGACTCCCCTGTACACCACAAAAAACAACAACAAAAAAAAACACGGCTCTTGTTGGTGCAGCTGTAGTTTTGCAAAGTACATGACACGAGGAATAAAAGTACAATCTTTCCATGCATTGTTTCTCGTTGCAATTTTTAAATAAAGCAATATATTTCCCATCCATCCATTCCCATCCCCAACCGCGACGGGGGCCGTCATCGTCTACTAGATACCTTTGACCCAGTGTTGACATCACACTTCAAAGAAGCCACGTGACAAGCTTCACTGGGTCAGTCTACTGAGGAAGACCAGAATGACTGGTCGAAAGCTCTAGGTGAGAGAATTTTTTGTGTTGGACCAAAAGTTTTAATTCTAAACGTATTTCCCATCCAGTTGTGCGAAGGCGTACAAGGGCGGATGGTGGTACAACGACCACTGTTTCGACGCTAACCTGAACGGCTACTACAGCGACAAACAACCCACCGGTGCCAGCGGCTTCTGGCTGCCCTTCAACGGCTACAAGGGTCTGAAGTCGTCCACCATGATGATACGTCACATGAACTACAACCCTCCTGCTGCAGTTGCTCCTATTGGGTAGTGATAGCACCGTATAGGGAACACCAGAAAGTGCGAAATGGAACGAAATGGAATAAAAGTTCATGAACGAAATGGAACGAAATGGAATGAAGTGAACTTTCGAACGAAATGGAACGAAGTGAACTTTCGAACGAAATGGAACGAAGTGAACTTTCGAACGAATTGGAATGAAGTGAACTTTCGAACGAAATGAACTTTCGAACGAAATGGAACAAAATACATTTTCGTTCTATTCTGCTTCATTTCGCACTTTGTGTACACCACCGTAAAGCGTCTTGCTCAACACATAGACGACTTACACTTCCCAACACAGAAGGAAATGTTATCTTAGCTAACCGAAAATAATACATCGTGTGTAACGTTACTCAAAATAACGTATACGTACAAGACATCATAACGAATGTAAAAGATGAATTATGATTTCACTCATCATTTAAGAAGGCTCTGATAAACAAAGTAAACGAGTATGAAATATGTTTTGTGACTAGACTGATACTGATACTCTTAAAATTGCGTCAAACACATCTGCTGAACTATCAATAAAGATACACGTACAAAGCAATTACCATGACTACTTTGTTTTCACATATCGTGTTTGAGTAACTAACATTACAACCGTACGTTTATAATGGTGATACCCTAGTCATGATAGAAGCACTGTAACAAACTGCCCTCTTTAGACCGGTCTTGTAAAGATGTCAATAATACTAATCCGTACTGAACACATTTTCCCGTACGGAGTTTTAGGCCACGTCAATTTAATTTGTTGGTTCTCGGATATTTTTCAGAAAAAAACTATGAAGCCACAGGGCGAAAAAAATAACTACTAAATAAATATGGTCTAGGCATCCTGTTAGTGTTACAGCTCCAAATGCCATGATAGGAGCCACGAAGTCAACACAAAAGGCTGGGTTGATATTTAAACAATGAATTGTTAACTTTTAGTCAAACCACGACTGCATTTGATAGATGGAAAAACTGTAACAACTAGGAAGAAAAGGACTTTCCTCAACCAGAATCTTTTTTCTAGTGGGAAAAGGGTCTCCATATGATTTCTGTTATCACAGCTGCCAGGTCGAGTTAAGCACCTTGAAACACATCAGCCCACCTCCACACACTGCCACCTGTTTTGTAACGGACACTCAGTTACTCATCAACTCGTCTTGGGGTAAACTGGAGGCCATCGCGCAAACAATCAAGCCAGCAAAGAAACACCCGGGAAGAAAATAATTAAATACTTCAAAAATTAAATAGAAAAATCAGCACAAACACATGCATATGTACATCCACACAAACACACACACTCCTATCTCCCATCGCATACATGTTTTGTTTGTTTGTTTCGCATAGCCGGTAAACCGCCCTTAGGCATAACACACCAGTTTTATACACGTGTGTACATGTACAAGCTGCGAAAGACCGGACTGTAAGGTTTGAACCACTCACACCGGGAAGGTCCCCTACTCTTTTTGATAAGTGTGGTGGGTTCTTTAACGTGCGTGGGGTGTGGCTCTCCCCAAACACGGGACCTCCATTTAACGTCCAATCCGAGGGACGTCCCTAACCGAAGCTAGGTACTCATTTCCACCTGAGTGAAGTGAGGAAAGTCGTGTTAAGTGACTTTCCCAAGAGCACAAGATCGGTGACATGGGCAGGATTCGAACCCGCGACCTCTTGGGTGTGAGCCGAACGCGCTACACGACCCCACGTGTTTGCGAAGTTTATCTGACACCATCTCCTAATCCGGTCAGTAAGCACACCAGATGAGCAGCAGATCGAATAAAGTACGAAACGCAACTTGTACAAAACGTTTCCAACTTCTTATAATACTAATACTGAGAAGAGGGAGGTTAGCCTCTACCAGGTTTCGGGAAGCGGCTGGAAAGAGTAGAAAGCCCGCCGGGAGCAGCAAACTATAGTCTCTAGCGCTCCGACTCACCTGGCATGTTATCTGTCTATTTGGCCAATTTCTACTCTCTCCAGCCGTTTCCACAAGCCTGGTAGAGGCTACAAGGATTGTTGTGGGCTTAGCATGATCTAAAAGGGACTGATATGATGCAGGGCTCGAAATTAACGGTGTCCCGATGGCCACTGACTACTAAAATTTTGGCCGGGACAAGAGACTTTGGGACATTTTGGGGACAATAGAAAAATACTTATTAGTCTAGTAATCAACCACGGAATGTCAGTCCTTCTTTTGTTCACTAGGCACATATCCTGGCTTTTGGCTCCGGAAAAGTCCCCTCAAATTTCCTATTTTTGTCATACAATACTTCAAAGTTGAGACAGGGACAGTTGAAGTTACTAGTAATACAGTAAGAAAACTTAATTTCGAGGCCTGATGATGGTTAGACTTACTACTACTACTGCTATCCGGTTTAGCGTCTGTTGTTCCCCGTCTCCGGAGGGTTAAATTAAACATGCTTGCACACTGATGCTCACCGAGGCTTGATGGCAACCCGAATGTATCTTGAAAGTTCATCTGTGTTGTCTTGGTAGAAGTCATCATGAAACATGATTGAACAGAAAAATATACAATTTCAACACTTTCAGGTATTATCTCATAACCTGGGTGCCATGCGATTTGTAATAGCATTTTTTCGGGGTTGCTGTTACAAATCGGATGGTACCCAGGCTAATTAGCTCAGGCACAAGTGATAGACCATGGCACTGTCCTCATTTTTAGCAGCTTTATTTCTTCAGCAAACATGAAAAAGCAAACTGACAAAATAATCCACCAGCTTCAAGCTATGGAACACATCACCTGTGGGCATGCCTTCCGCTCTTAAACTATGTATGGGTAAGCAGGGAAAGTCAACCTTGTTACACTCAAGTGTTACAAACAAAAGTCTGCAGGCAAACCTCAAAATGTATCCTTTTTTTCTCTTACCAAATCTAATGGTATGTTCCGTCAGCAACATTCTTACATGTTGGTGTTCTACTTATTTTGTATCACAGACTGAAATAGTAACTAAAGCTACAACTCAGTTCAATACACACACACATGTAACAGTTGTCTTTGACGCCCAACTAGCTTTGATAAATATCGTTGTACAACTCTGGTATACATGCTGTTATAGTTACTGTATTATTTGCATTTTGAAGATGCGTAGTAATAGAATTTTGTTGTACAGGTAATTTTCTTATACTTGGGTACACATGTACATGTGTAGGTACACAGTTGTACACTGATACATTAGACAGTACTTCAGGTATACACCGTTTCTTAGCTGCTGTTTTGTTTACTGTACTGGGACAATACGCAGGGTGTTGGTAAAGCCAGGACCCGGCCGCCAGCCTGTCACCACTACCACATTGTTACCTAGATAAGATAAGATAAGAAAAGCTTTAATAGCATTGAAACAGACTAATAAAAGATCTGAATTGTCACTAATTTACAAATACAATATCAAAATTCACACAGAATTAAAAACTTGAAGAGAAACATTCAGTTACATTAATTTTTACAAGTTATGCCACACCATCTTAATTTTATGGATGACATCCTCTGAAGACCCCCAAACTAGTGTGCGCGGGCGAATAAAAAAAAATTCCAGCCAAAAATAAAAATGCTACTAAACTACAGGAATACAAAGCTGGTATTGTGAATTTGCGGCAGTACATAGAGACGTCCACGACAAGCCGACACATGCTGGCTTTTTTTGGAGTTTATGAATCAGCACTGTGCGTTTGTACTGAGATCTTGAGTCGTGTAGCTTCGGCAGCCTGGGTGCCGTCCTCCAGAGTTACCACCGGCTCTGTATTGTCGCCAACTGCCATGGACTACCCAGGTCTAGAGCCAGGCCAGAGCCTCAGAGAACTTTTTTTAGGACAGGCGAAAATCAATGTGCGCGCTGATGTCATTCATAAAATTAAGTCGGTGTGGCCTTTGCGATATTAAAATTATACATGTATTCATAGTATTACATAATTATTAAAAAATTACGGGTGAAATCATTTCAGAGATTTGTTATACAGCAATGTGGATTGGTATAGGAATTTCAAAGTGTCCTTACCTGGCTTCACAAAGCCACGGGTTTTACCTGGGGACAAGAGAAGAACAGGGAACATCATCACACTGTGTCTCTGGTGCTTAACTAGACTACTAGTATCATGTAGCAAACAAGGATCTGAGGAAGTGACTTAGCTAATAAACAGAGAAATGTCTTCTTTGGCAAATGGCACTGTGGCAAGGCAAAAGATCGTGTTGGGGGTGTCTGAATGGTAGGAAGCAATGTAAGTTAATGATATGTAAAATTAATGCAGCACATAAGCAGAATGTACTATGCCTGCGTGTACTGTGCATACATGTAGCTGCATGTTTGATAGAACTCTCATTTAAAGTCATATTCATTTGGTTAAGGATCTATACTTTTCAAATGTTTTGTCTGAATTTAAGATACTGTCTGAAACGGCAAATTTTTCGAGCGTTGCGTAGCGAAAATCCGGATGGTACCCAGGCTAGTATGTTCTGCCGAAGTACTTATAAATATACCAAAATATGTTTCTTTGGTCACAATGTGCGAGTTGGGAGGGGCAACATTCCACAGTAACTCATGTCTGTGTAAGGGAAAACTGAGTGTACACTCTATTCCTTTGAAAGCTTGATTAATCTAAAAATCTGAAAAAAATTAAAGTGGACCTGGTATAACTCTCTCTCTATCCCTAAGAGGCACATGACTGTCTTGTACTTTGAACCTACATGTTGCAGTAACTGTTGGTCTGATCACAGGTCAAACATGTATACTTACCATCTATCAGTCAACTAATTCCAATCTGTTCAGTGTTCTAGCCAGCGTGTCCTCCTGTCATTTGACTGAATTTTGCATGATAGACAACAATTTTACCCAATCCGTCATCTTTGATGTACAAAAATCAGAGTAGATATGGAAAGAGATGTCATTAAACTAAGCTCAGTCTATCAGCTAAATTTGCTCCTCACAAATGCAGGCAGTAGCGTTTCAGAAGGTTGGCGATCAACATGATGTTACGTGAAAGCATAATTGAGATCATGATGGAAATACATGTCAAGCTGGCTAGAACACTGCTTCCAATGCATGTATCTACTGTGACAGACTGTTCACAGGTGGTTACATTGTGTAATGTATAGTCCCTGTCACACATTCACAACTTTCCCCCAAAATCTGTTCCTGAACACAAGTTGACCAGGTTAACGTTCAGCTGACTTTCGGGAGCACTCTGACTAAATTTAGGCCACGCCCATCTTTCTAACTAATCAAAACGAATTTGAGTTAAATTGGAGTAAAATTTGGTCCCTGCCCACACCCCAAACACTGCTGACTTACTCCAGGATGGTTGGTAGTACTCTCCAAGCAGAGGTTTGGGTTTTGGATTATTTTTGGCGTAATTTCAGAACTTTTTTTATCGGGGTTTCTTTTTTTGCAGTGCAATTTTTCTTTCACCCCAATAAAAAAGTCTAAATACACGCCAAGAATCACCCAAAACCCAAACCTCTGCTTTGAGAGTAGGTTGGTAGGTGTTTTGCTGTCTTACGGTAAAAAATGAGCCAATTCTGATTGAATGTTTTGAACGTTTGAACATTTCAATGAAAAAATTATTGAAACATTCAGCTGGCACAGCCAATTTACCACAGCCAAATTTGTAACAGGTTTTTATACATTGTATACCTGAGTGTACTGTTGCTGAAATAAACTAGAAAGGCCAATATTTGCTTTGGAGCAAATACAGCGATGGGTTCACCACATTTTACGACGTCATGGCAGGGAAAGAATGAGAAACACAAGGGAAAACAATGATTTACATTGATATAACTATAATATGAAGTAACATACAACTAAAACAACAGTTGGATAGCTATTTCCTACTTTATTGGTTAGGATTTTTAATTGCATAATGCAAACTGTTGATTTTCAAAATAAATAAAAAAACGTTCATGCCCCGCATTCCAATGCTGGAGCAGGAAAGCTTGAAATACCTACCAAAACACTTGAATACAGACATACTGTCAGTATGGAAATGGTCTGTGCAGGTGTTAATCAAGTTAAATCCCAACAGCCAATCAGCAAGAAATGCTCTGTGCAGGTGGAAATGGTCTGTGCAGGTGTTAATCAAGTTAAATCCCAACAGCCAATCAGCAAGAAGAAGAGAGGAAAGCTGCATGCCTATTGGTTGATGCCCTGCATTCCATTGTGATGACTCATGCCAAATGTGGTTAACACTGCCCACTGACACAGTAATACATTTGCTATAATACAGCCAAAAAACTCAAATAAAACCATTCTAAAAGCCTGTATCACAATAATTTAAAAAACGCCTAGGGGTATTTGCCCACTGTACCTCCATACCAAATTTCAGGACCTTGGGCCCTAAAATGAAGAAGCTGAATCCATTTAAAAAATGGCAGGAGGAGAAGGAGGAGGAGGAGAAGAAGAAGAAGAAACATCAGAAAAAGCAATATGGTTTCACCACACCACTTCGTGGTGTGGTGAACCCATAATAAACTATTAACTGAAGTTCGTAACGCTAGCTGACCCAATCCTAACCTAAAACTTCACGGGCATTTGGCTAGCATTTGGATGGCCAAATTCGTGAATGTGTGACAGGGGCTTAACTGAATACTAGCAGAACATAATATATACTGCAATCCAATGGACAAAACAGGTCTGACAGCAAACAGATTACCTGTAACACATGTTAGTAAGAACAGCACAGGAAAGCACTGGAACTAAAGTGCAAGACTCAGCCTAGTGATTTGTTAGTTTAAGAAATCATGCAAAGGGAAATGCTATAAATCAGCCTATGAGCTGCAAAACAGATGAAAGAAAAACTTGATATGGCAGGCAAGTCATTCCCCAACTCAGAAGGCACATACTGTGTTAACTGTTGACTTATGTCTCAGTCTGTTTGTACTTATTATAAGCACCAATTCAATCAGTCATTCAGTCAATGTCTTGATTCCTTCATTTGCTTCAAGCATTTAGTATGTGAATACATGTAGGCCACTTGTTTATTTGGCAAGTTGTTTCAATTTATACGTCAATGAAGATTAGACATCCAGGTAATGAGATACGCATTACTCAAGCAAGTTACTGGATAGCTTTCAAGTAGCATCCACTACTTTTCGTCTGTGACTTTTACCATGTGTACTTGTTGAACAGATTCAATTTATAATTAAGGTAAGGAAAAAGGAATAAAAGTATCAAGCATATTATAATTCCTTCCTTTTAGTAAAAGACTATCACCACACCTTGTTTTAGTAAGACATTTTAGATTGACACTAACTAAGTAATTGGGAAAAATACCACACCTAAGTTGTCTAAAATTAGAAAAGGCAATCTCAAAGTAAGCGATGAAAAGAAATTACTGTAACACTAAAACTGAAGTGGAATTATATTTCATTAATTATCAAATTATAAAATGTGAAAAGTTCAAATTATGCCCACAAGTCTGAAAGAATTTCAAATTACATTTCAAATGATGAGATTGATCATCTATTAGGCTTAATCAAATTTGAAAGTTGAACTTCTTTTGATTGAAGTCGTTTTGATATTATGTAAATTATCATTTGATTAAAAATGATTGTATTCATGTCATGATTCATAGACAATTATTAAAATCAAAAGCTTGTTGATTTTCTTGAAGATTTGAATTTTGAATGATTGCCAATGAAAGGAACTTGATTTTGTTCCGATACGCGAAAACGTCACCTGCGTTTCTTACAGGCTTTAATCCCGAATGACTTTGATACGCATGGTGTTGGTAAAGCCCGACCCTGGCCTCCAACCTGTCACAATCACCACCGTATCCCCGACTTTCAGCAGCCAATTCTTAGCTGTGGGCAGAAATGAACAATCATCATGCCATTGACCTTCATGCTTTTCAACCGTGACTGCATGCCCGTAGCCAGGATTTTGAGTGGGGAGGTTCTTCCCACTGCTTGAGGGACCAGCGAGCGCCGTAGGCGCAAGGCAAGCGCCGAAGGCGCGAGGTTCCTAGGGGGGTCCGGGGTCATGCTCCCCCGGGAAATTAAAAAAAAAATGAACCTTCTGAAATGGCATTTCCTTAATCTTTTAGAGGATTTTAAAAAAAAATCAGAGATAACTTTTTCCACTGAGAAGCCATTTTCCTACGATTTCCAGCCTCGCTAGATAAAAAGTGGACCAAAAAGTGAGCCTTGTGGAACCCCCCCTGGCTACGGGCATGGACTGTACAGACAACGTAGCGTCCCCACTTACTCTGTGGTCATCATCTAGTCCTCAACAGTTAACAAACGTATGGTGTTGATGTGCCCTGACCCTGGCATCCACCCAGTCAGAACGACCACAGTGTTCCCAACTTTCACGAAATTGCGTTGTCGGGCTGTGTAAGGCAAGGGCACACGCAATGGAGGTCATGTTGCAAGGCGGTAGGTTAGATAAAAGCAAGAGAGATCCCACCAGCACTGCTTCAAACAATTTCAGACTTGATGCAGAATAAAAAAAAAGAGAAATTGTGAAAAGCGAGAAAAATGTGCTTCATAACTTAGAAGACAGCTGGCATCATAATCATAAATTAAAGAGTTACTGGAAATATCTTGAAGAGTTACCCTGATATTGCTGTAAACAAATATTCTAATAGTATGCATGTATCATAGTCTAGCAAGTTTGTAACTATATATTGCATGGCTCAAATTTTCTTCAGGATTTGTACTTATTTCAGTCAGTACACTCACTGTAACAGCAGAGGGTCTCAATTACTTGCATATTACAGTAACTGCTGTAACAGTTACTTTTCCCTAATTAAGGTTTGTTCTTCAAAAGAATTTATGTACCTTAATCAGATCCTTAAGCATTAATTTAAAGCTTCATAAATTTCAACACCAGATCAAGCAAGCAGCTTAAGGTAATGGCCCTCAAAAAGCTTAACTGGCCTAACCTACATCTAATAGTAGTACAGAGTGCAGATGTAGGTGTAGAGACTGATCCATTCTTACCAACAATGTACAGGACGGGTGGCTTTCATCACTTCAAATAATTAGTGTAAGAATGTTGGCCAGCTTTGTAGATGTTCCACGTGAGGCATAGCATTTTTTTTTTTGGGGGGGGGGGGCGCTTTTGCAAGTTGCACGATTTTCTGATCACATGTACAAAATTAAATAAATGTACAGTCATGTAGATCACACGTGCTAAAAACACTGGCTGCCAACCCTAGCACTATGCATTCTCCGCACTATGGTTGGCGGCCAAAGTTCTAAGCATATTTATTTATTTATTTATTTGTTTGGCTGTGAGAAGACAATTTGTACAGCAAGGGCAGCCCAACTAGCCGAATAGCTATTATTAAGGGCTTGCCCTGCTGACAAGACAAACATTTACACATACATTACAACAGTTACAATACAATTATTAATATACATTGTACATGTATGATTGTGATCTATGCGTGATAAAAAATTGTGCAACTTGTGCATAAGCATCCCCCTAAAAAATGCCAACTGCATCTGGAATGTCTGCAAAGGAGGCTACAAGACTCTAACACATTGAATGTCAGACTGTTTGCTTTGAATTAAACCTTTTTTCTGCTGTCATGTGAAAATTAATACATCCACCCTCATGAAAATACATTGTATAGAGCTGCTCATGGTGCATCTGTGTGTGTCCAGTCAAAGATGGACAGTAGGGTTGTCTCTAACTATGATCATTAATTTACAATCTCACTAACCTAGCGCAAAAGTGTTGTCAGATTAGAACTTTTTTTACACAACACAACATCAAAACAACTTTTGCTGCAACAAATATTACAAACAAAATTCTATTTTGTGCAGTGGCTTGCTGAACAGTGGTGGTGGGAAAAAGCCAAGCAAAACTGCTGAAACCAGAACACAGACTAGATAAAACAGGAAGAGATGATCAGTTAGTAGAATATTTCTTAATCAGTTTTTTGAAAGGTAGAAACACGTACCTCCAAATTTTCGATGTCTACTGTACATCTTGCTCACGGAGTGACCTAGTCTCGCGAGAACACGAGACTAGGTGGAGACTTGTGTGGATCTTCTGGCCTCCCCCGCCTCCTTGCGGAGTAGGGGTAGGTACATTGTAGGACTTGGGCAGCTCCCAACCTTCATTTCAATTCATCCCAGCACATTCCAACTGGATGTGGACCGCTTCCTTAATATATAATCTTAGTCTATAATCTTAATGATGTCCAATTAAGATAGGGGCAAGATATGTCCAAGATAGTCCTACTTACCCCTGCTCCACAAGGAGGCGGGGGAGGCCAGAAGATCCACACAAGTCTCGACCTAGTCTCGTGTTCTCGCGAGACTAGGTCACTCCGTGAGCAAGATGTACAGTAGACATCGAAAATTTGGAGGTACGTGTTTCTACCTTTCAAAAACAGTCACTGATTGAAGAATATTCTACTAACTGATAATTCTATGTGACTGATGAACCTCTAACTTGAACGATAAAGGAAGAGATGAGTAGTTAAGAAGGATGTTACTAACCGTACTCGATACAGTAGGTGACCCTGGCCTCCACATCATCCACCCAGTTGTCCTTGCGCTGGGTCTCGGGGTACCAGAGCGGGTGAATTCCTCGCCACAGGTGCATCTGTCGTGCCACCTGCGCCTCACGTGTGACGGCCAGGATGGGACAGCGCGGCCGGAAGTGGGACAGGTCTGCCGCAGATCTGTGTGGTGGCAAAACAAGTGTCACAAAAATTGCTCCAAAGTGTGTAAATCACTTTATTTTGTGTTGCAAAATTTTAAAGAAAGTTTGCAGAACTTAAAAGTTCTGCAAAGTTCTTAAACTTAAAAGTTCTAGAACTTAAAAGTTCTGCAAACATGTCCAATTTTCTCAGACCGCTACTGGGAACATATCCAGTAGTGGCAGGTGCAAAAGAAAGAACGTCAGCAAATTAATTATATTTTTTTGTTATTTCTGGCTATTCTTGCAGGCCATGTGTAATTCGCCCATTTGACCAAGATTTAGTGCTTTGGTCTCCTGTGTGTCAATTTGGGAGTCAGAACGTTAACAAAATAAAGTTGACTTCAAGTTGTTGTCATACATACTTAGACCGTTCTTCCTTACTTCAGGACAATGAAATTTATTTTTGGGACAATGCTGGGACAATAAGAAACTAGAAACTTTCTAAGGTAACATTTGCAAAGCAAATGCATAATGTTTACCTTCGCATATGGTCTGCTCTCAGACTGTTAATTCTTACTCAAACACATTGTTTCACATAATGAATGGTGACAGATGTCTAAATCCCTCCTACTATAAAATTGCAACATTAATATGTAACCCAACACCAGTTACCATGGTAAGAGACAGTCTAGTTCAGGTCATTGACTAGGTCAGAGGTCAGTGTTTGGAACAATATTTTTTCCTTTAGTAAACATAACAAGGTTAATTTTGAGGCTTGTTGGTGGTACTTACTTGCCAGACCTGGTGACCACAATGATGGCAGCTGCCTGACAGCTGAAGCTGGCCTGGACAGCAGCGACAGCGGCTGACTGGGTGGGGTCGCTGGCCTCCCACAGGATCTCACGCCGCAGTTCCTCAAACACCTGCCGGTGGAACATCGCCGACTCCGCTTCACGCGAAATCTACGGGCAACATCAGCGTACAAGTTAGACCACTCCAATTTTATTGGTTGGTTCCCAGATTTTTGCATGAAAAAAAAAAATGAAAACAGGTCTATAGGCATATCCTATAATTATAGCCCCAAATGCTACAATAGGAGCCATGAAGTCAACACAAAAGGCTGGGTTAATAATTATAAACAAAGAATTTTGAACTTTTAATCAAACAACTGCATTGATAGATGGAAAAACTGTAACAAGTAGAAAGAAAAGGACTTTCCTTAACTGTCTGGGACAAAATATGAGCATTTTTTTCATAATTCAGGTTACCCAAATTCCTGACAAATTAATCGATCTAAAGTGGTTTTCCCTAAAAAATACTAAAAACTAGTAAGAATACTAATGAGGCCTTAAAGCTGTACAGGAGGCTACGTACGATAATATATTATGTTTTGACTTACAGCATGCATCATCTTCACACTGGGTACAGGGTACAGCCCCTTTGCTGTCTCCCCTGACAGCATGACACAGTCAGCTCCGTCCAGGACAGCATTGGCGACATCACTGCCCTCTGCACGGGTGGGGCGGGGCTTCCCAATCATACTCTCCAACATCTACAACAACAAATAGTTATTAAATTTAACTGTAATAGTAATTGTATATTAGCATATAGCCGGGTGACGTTGACCAATCAGAAGGCTCCATTCCACATTCTTTATGATGCCGTAATGTCACAAATAGAGTAAAAAAAAAACGGGTCTTTATTCATTCCAATCCATTATTATTATAAAGTTTAACATTAAAAAATCCAATCACCAGCATATGAGCTCAGGTGACCCAAATAGAACACCACTCTGCTCTAAAAAATCATGCAAATCATCAATCACACAAACATGTAACTGACAGAGTGTATAGCATTAAGGACAGTTGCAAACCACATGTACAAGGGTACAGTAGAAAACTTTGGGCCCTATCTACTAGTAGAGAAGGAAGTGGCATAACTCACATTAGTCATTACCGTGCACAAAATACAACTTAGTTGTAGTTGTATTAAGCTATGATAAAACCTCTATCGATGTTCACAATGTACAATGTAGGTCCTGGGTTCAAATCCTCCAACTACTGCATAGCTTCAGTTATCTAAAAGGGATGTCTTTCAGAATTAGGACGTTGAATGTTCCGTGTTTAGGGTAAGTCACACGCACCATGCACATGCTTTCAAAAAAGAGAAGGGGCATCCCCCAGTCCAAATATGCTGAAACTTGGTGATTCACTCCAGGAAGAATAGAGGAAGTTTAGTGTAAAATTTACTCTAAGGCCACACCAATTTAATTTCTTGGTTAACGGATTTTTCTAGACAAATAATGGAGCGGGCGGGCGAAAAAAAATGATAAAAAAAGGCCTAGGCAACCTACATGTATTATGGCCCAAAATGGTACGATAGGAGCCATGAAGTCAACACACCAGGCTGGTTCAAAATTTAAACATTCAATGAATTTTCAACTTTTAATGATACCACTGCATTGACTGATTGAATAACTGTAACAACTAGGAAGAAAAGGGCTGTTTTCAACTGTTCAGGGCAAAATATGAGCATTTTGCACTTGATTCAGAATTTTTTTTTTTTTGCAAATCAGAAAAAAATGAAGTGGGCGAATCCGTTAACCAAGAAATTAATTTGGTGTGCCCTAATGGAAATCCTAGTAAAACAAACGAACAAACAAACAAACAAATAAACAAACAAACCTGAGTAGCACAGATGACAGGCTTGCCGATCCTGTTACAGCGACCAATCATCATCTTCTGAGCGATGAAGACCTTCTCAGCCGGGATCTCAATACCCAGGTCACCCCGGGCAACCATGATGCCATCACTAGCCTCCAGAATCTCATCAAACCTGAGGGACAGGGAAACTTCTACTTAAGTCAATGCTTTACAACTTTCAAAATCAACTGCCAATATGCCAACAACATGATGAATTTGTTTAAAGTTAAAACTTTTGGTCCAACACAATTTTAGACAATTTTAGACACTGAACAAGACTATTTCTTGAGAGGGGTGAAGGAAGCCATATACATCAGGGCTCATCACCCTACATTGAACCGCGACGGGGGTCCACACCGTCTACCAGATACCTTTGACCCAGTGTTGACGTCACACTTCAGAGAAGCCACGTGACAAGCTTCACTGGGTCAGTCTACTGAGGAAGGCCAGAGTGACTGGTCGAAATCTCTAGATGAGAGAACTTTTTGTGTTGGACCAAAAGTTTTAACTCTAAACAATAACTACCAACACAGATGAACTTTCATGATGGAACATGATGAATTACATAAAAATACAATGATGTGTATTTTGTTTCACCCTCCTATGCCATGGGTTGGATCTCTCCCTGGCCTTTAGGCGATCTGATCCAAGGTTGGGCTGTGACATGAAATACACTTTACACTGTGTTGTATTGTAAGCGATGTAGTAGTATGACTTTTCTGTGCTAGCATAGTCCCACACAGTGTAGTCCACTAAGTTACTTCTCAGGACTACAGAGAAGGAGAATGAAAAATCCAACTAAACAATTCTCAAGAACAGTTCACGAAGTTTGAAAATGACCACTTGGTTGTGTGTGGTTTGAAATGTAGAAAATTAAATTCTTTTCTCTAGCATACACAATGTGAAATAGGCGAGTCTAAATTGAAATATCATGTTACATGTAAAGAACAGGTAATAGGCCAAACAGGACAATATTATGTTAAATACAGGACTCTCTTGCCCTGTTACGCCCATGATGCCTGTATACTGCATTTATCCCTGCATTTAGAGGGATAAATCTCTCTGAGTACTCTAGTGGACAATTGAGTACTCTGCAATTCTCTATGGATTAGGCATTGTTCTCCCAAATTCTATCTCAGATCTCTTCCAGTCTCTTACAAGTCTCTTTTTTACAACTGTTGCGTAAATTTCCTATTGTTTAAAAAGTCTCTTTCAAAATCACCTGTGAAAACATGGCTGCCATGTTGTTGTTTTTATGTCATTGTTAGGGTTAGACGTGGCATGAATGTACAATAAAGGTACTTCATTGAGGCATTGAGCTAATCCCTATTTAATTATCTATTGTTCAAAACAATTGATGGTATCTGAGGGGGTCCAACCTTAGGTGTCAAGAAGGAATCTACAGCAGTTCTCTTCTAATGGGGACAGATCTCTTCCAGCTCTCTTTTGGTCTTGTCCTTTGTGATGAGTACTCTTTTGTCCGCTAGAGTACAGTACTCAAAGAGATTTATCCCTCTATGTACGTATGTGACTGAGCCTCACCTGCGGACCCCCTCATGGTTCTCCAGTTTGCTGATGATCTTGATGTTCTTGCCCTTCTCCCCCAGTACCTCCCGTACGGCATGCACGTCTGCCGCTTTCCGGATGAAGGAGGCAAACACCATGTCCACCTGGGAGCAGGGAACATCAGGACTCATAGCAGCATGTACATCTTAGACTGTGACAACAAGTACATGTATTGAAATACTTTTTTACTGCATACCTGCACCAGTGCAGGTAATATTCAACTTGAAAATTACCTGTACCAGACAAATTTTACCTGCACAAGTGTGGATCATAGTATTTTTATTATTTTTTACTAAAAACTTTTCAGAAATATTCCCATCATTTCTTTTAGATTTCAGGTGCTAACACTCCAATGTGGAGAATGAAAATTCACACACATAACATTTTGTGTATAAACCCAGTATATGGAGCAGTGCAGGTTACAAAAAAAATGTAGGTGCATGCAGGTAGACATCAAAAATACCTGCACAGCTCCAATTTTACCAGCAAAAAAATGCTGCTTTACCACAGGAATACAAAGCTTGTATTGTGAATTTGGGTAGTTCCAAGCGACTTTTACGACAAGCCGGCACATGCTGGCCTTTTGCGGCATTTCTGAGTTAGCACTGTACAGGGTTCCTGAGTTCCGTGGAGCTTCAGCAGCCCGGATGCCGTCCTCCATAGTTACTGCCGGCTCCCTATATTGACAGTTGCTTCATTGTAGCTACCACGGACTACATAGGATGGCAATCAGGCCAGAGCCTTGGAGGTGATTTTTTCTTTGAGAACAGGCAAAAAATGCATGCAGATGTCATCGATAAAATCAAATCAGCGTGGCCTAAAGAAGAAAGTGATAAGGCCACACCAATTTAATTTCTTGGTTAACGGATTCGCCTGCTTCATTTTTTTCTGATTTGCAAAAACAAAAAAGAATCAATTGCAAAATGCTCATATTTTGCCCTGAACAGTTGAAAACAGTCCTTTTTTCCCTAGTTGTTACAGTTATTCCATCTTTCAATGCAGTGGTATCATTAAAAGTTCCAAATTCATTGTTTAAATTTTGAACCAGCCTGGTGTGTTGACTTCATGGCTCCTATAGTACCATTTTGGGCCATAATAGGATGCCTAGGCCTGTTTTTATTATTATTTATTTTTTCGCCCGCCCGCTCCATTATTTTTCTAGAAAAATCCGTTAACCAAGAAATTAATTTCAGTCTGGCCTGAAGAAGAAAGTGATAAGAGAATGATACTTATTAGATAGATGTACCTCTTGCTGCACCCCGAACAGTAGATCTCCCTTGTCCTTGTCAGAGACAGCGGGTAGGTCCACAGCGACTCTGGGCAGGTTGACTCCCTTCCTGCTCCCCAGGGTTCCTCCATTGTCTATCACACACTGAAGGTAGTCTTCCCCTGAAACAACAGAACAATTTTCATGGTTAGACGTGCATTCAATGAATAAATGAACTTTATTGCTTTCAGACAGTTGTACATGGTAGTACTACAATGTATGGCAACAGTGAGAATGTGATCAATATGCTGTAAGAAACTACTACGTTGTACTAATGCTGACTTTAGACTGACGACGGTTGAATAGTCATGAGAATGTTTATCGTCAAGATGTTGCCGCGACAGTACTTTAACACTATCTAAAGACGATCAAAAAGTCGCACAATCATTATGGTAATTCTCGAATCATAGTCACTACCACCTCGGACCCTATCGTGCGATCCTTCAGCGGGGGGTTCGAGGAGGATTTTCCACCGTCTAAAGTGAACCGTCGCCGGCAAAGGAAGTGGGAGGTCATTGGCCTTATGCAAATAAGCCTGCAAGTGTTATTTCATGTCCAAGCACATCGCCCGTATCATTAAGAAAATTATTTCTCCAAACCAAAGACTTTATCGTAATACGTGTCACTGTCTAGTACAATCTCCTGCCACCAATCGCTACTTCTTTGGTACGAACCAATCCGCCGATCCACATTTCCCGGCCAATATATCCAGGCCGACGGCAGCACCGAATGCCAGGTTCAAACCCGGAGTATTGCCCCGCTCGGTACATGTGCCTCACATCCCTTCCCACCTGGTAAACTGTATTATAGTACATATGTAGTTTAAATAGGGTCTCATCTACCCTTTCTGTGAATCCATTACCCTTTGATACATGGTAATAAAAACTATAAACCAAAAAACAGTTGGTTAAGTGTTTATTGTAATTGGCGGGAGTTCTGAATGTTCTTCTGTAATTATATTGTGGCTTGTACCATATGTAAACTAATTAAAAAAATATAACTTTGTTACAGTTCATGATACTAGACGCAATAACTATCCTTGTAAGTTGTACGACGTATATGATTTATATCATACTCGGGCTGCAATAATGTTCGATAACGGGTTCCGGACCGGACCATACTTTTTTCGGGCTTCCATGGCTTCCATAGAACGATTCGAACGCATTTTGCCCTAACTGCGTGCGCCGCTTTCGAAACTTTGAATACAGAATCCAGACTTTAGAATTGATGTCGTTGCATTCTAGGGTTTAGTGGCACCAACTTTTGGCTCATTTTGCATTGAAAGGGGCGTTTTCTTGGGTGGGTATGACACAAATAAAATACAACACGGTGTATAATTTTTTTACATGTAACTGTTATATGTATTTATGAGGCAGTTAACACTGTACTGGTTTGTTGTATCAACTTTTCTCCCCGAGCCAAGCCAAAGCTGTGTCCTGAGTTGTCATCTGTTGACATGGCCTGTGCTAATATTGATGTACAATGTACAGTCCAGAGATTTTGTACATACTACAGACATGATGCTGATGACAAACAAATTACTGCTGACACAAAAACAACCCAAGGTCCTGAAACAATCAGATATCAGTGATAAAGGTCCCCAGTGCTGCTGAGACAGGTTTGGATGAGTCCAAAGTTTGAAGTCTCATCTGAGGACAATGTAATTATGATCTGTTGGTTCTGTTAGCTGTATCATTTGATGGTGACTGGTTGGTTCAGGTAGGTTTAGCTGCTGGATCAGTCATATTTTTCAAATGAAATTTTGTAAGTTTTAAACATAATATCACATGCAATAACTGTAACTATGCTGGTTTCAATGAACAATATAACATCTGTGTCCATAATATCACCAGGGTCCATAATATCGCCACCTTGAGAAATAGTGTGCTTAAAGATATTTTTACTGCAACATACTTTTGGTATGCACTCCTTCACACATCAAATGTACATACCTAGGGTATGTTGCAGTAAAAATATCTTTAAGCACACTGTTTCTGAAGGTGGCAACATTATGGACCCTGGTGATATTATGGACACAGATGTTAACTGTTTTTTTGGTTAGACTTCTGATTCGTTTGAACAAATCAGACCTGACTGGTATCAAGAACATTAGTCCATAAATGCCCAATGGAAGTAGTTAGAAAAAGTAAAACAAAGTAACTGATGAAAAACTTGTTGAAGGTTTACTTCTTGATGCCCTAACAATGTCATATAGTCAACCTCAGAATAACATGTTCACCTTAAGGCTACTGCAGCTGTATTTAGCAACTTGGAAGGTAGAAGGGACCTGTTAAGATAAGAGAACTTTGTCTAATTTTGAATACTGAGTACATGTATGTGGAACATAGCAAACTATAAGACTAGTGTACTGTTAATCACTTCATGTTTGTGGTAGCAAAAGTTCCCAGTCTGAGAAAATGTTCATGGAACTATTATAGCAGCAAAGGTACAGCAAAAACTTTAAGAAAGTTGGTGAATTATTTGTTAATGATATTAGTTCGCAATACAGAAGTGACCACAACAATCGTGAATATAAAAGTGCAAAAAATTGTTATTTACAGTCTGAGAATTATCTGTAAATAACTTTTGTTACCACAAACATGAAGTGATTAACAGTACACTAATCTTCTAGTTTGCTATGTTCCATGTACATATAGAATACAACACGGGGTATTCCGTATCGCCCGAGGTATCGGCCCGACCGTGCGGCCGCCGGGCGATTCAACTCGCGGGCGGGCTGGGACCGAGGGTGATGCAGAATACACCGTGTTGTATTTTATCTAATATGTCATACCCACCCAAGAAAACACACCTTTCAATGCATGATGAGCCAAAAGTTGGTGCCACTAAACCCTCAAATGCAACAACATCAATCCCAATGTCCAGATTCAGTATTCGAATTTTTGAAAGGGGCACACGCGGTTAGGGCGAAACGCGTTCGAATCGTTTTATGGAAGCCATGGAAGCATTCTATCTAATGGGTTCCAGACCGGGCCGTACCATAAAGTATGGCCCGGTCCGGAACCCGTTATCGAATGTTATTGCGGCCCGGGTATGATATAATGTTACTTATACAGAATTATCTGTAAATAACTTTTGCTACCACAAACATGAAGAGTGATTGACAGTACACTTGTCTAGTCTTCTAGTTTGCTATGTCCTACGCACAGTCATATACTTATAAAAGATACTAGTACATGTAATTTCCCAGAACCATGAAGGTGCTGAGGACTGTGCTTGTCCTGGCCAGTCTGGCCACGCTGGTGCCGGCGAATAAATGTGTCTTCAAGTTTGAGGCCGCGCCCCCCAAGGGTGTGACCTGTGCTTCTCTCAAGGACATGAAGGATGTGGACACTGACCTGCAGGCTATCACGGTCAGTCTTATTCTCAACTAACTTCCTGCATGTGTTCTATCTAAAAATTATGGTAAGATACGACAATGAAGATGTGAAAAGTTAACTGTCCTAGGGCCACACCAATTTAATTTCTTGGTTAACGGATTCACCCGCTTCATTTTTCTGATTTGAAGAAAAAAAATTTAGAATCAACTGCAAAATGCTCATATTTTGCCCTGAACAGTTGAAAACAGTCCTTTTCTTCCTAGTTGTTACAGTTATTCCATCTTTCAATGCAGTGGTCTCATTAAAAGTTCAAAATTCATTCAATTTGTTTAAATTATGAACCAGCCTGGTGTGTTGACTTCATGGCTCCTATTGTTACCATTTTGCCTATAGGCCT